TTCAGAATTCATCTTTGCCACGTCTGCTTTTCATACCAGAGACGGCTTAAAATTGTTCCTGATTCCTTTATAGCCAACATCAACAGCACATGGACTGAACTCGACAGTTACTATTACAACTTTTAGTCCTGATAGTACATTTTTCTGAGTCTGCCCTGTCTCCTGATTACTAAAAGAAAGCAGAAAAAGTACTTTTTTTTTCCAAAGTTACTTCATCCCGGGGTGAAAAGTTCAAAAAGATTCCAATGTCAGGAATGCTGAAACTGAGGGGAAATGACAGGACATGATTTCATCATTTACTATCAAAATGAAATGTTTAGACATCGCAGAAAATAAAACTATACATTTTTACATTTTACGTTTGCTGGCTTAAAGTTTTTTTCCAAAGATGTATCAAAATTTTTGGGGATGGAACAAGGCAGTTCTGCTGAGGAGAGAAATCACATCATATCGTGGAAAATCATGTCATGATCTTGATCTTCACCTAACCCCTTAAGGCACAGATTTATTTTACCATCATTGGTTTAAACTTGAGAGATCATCAGGCAACTGGGATTCTTCATACTGTTGTTTTTAAATTTTTACCTATCCTTGCAGTGCCTCCATTTGGGGGCCCAGGCCTTTGACCTGCAGCTGTGAGGATTTTTCCTTTCCAGCTGAAAATGTGTGTAATCAATGCATCCAAGAATGTGTTGTAAAAAGAGTATCAAATGGACTGCCACTGAAGTACAGTGGGGAAATCTACAGCACTGGAACTGCCAATGCTAAGCTAAGGAGCAGATAAAATCCTGGACTTGATTATCTTCTCCCTTTGATTTTTTTACTTTGTCACTCCACTGACTTTAGAAGAATTCAACTTCTCCCTGAAGTGCGCCAGGGTAAGGAAGAAAAGGAACAGCTGTTAAAAGTTTAATGCTTTAAAACACTGTCTGCTTCAGGCTATTTTAAATGCTCTGGCACTTCAGGTTTCGTAAGGTCTGTCACTTGATTAAAAAGATGTTATTTTGCCACTGATAAAACCACACTAAGTGTTATTGAAAGATTTATTAGTCTGCAGTAATATTTTACAAATTGCCAAGTGTGCTGTTAATCCCCTCTAATACACTCCAAAGTGAACAGAGCAGAGCAGCTGCCAACCTTTCCCTTGACCAGCACTGACTCCCTCTCGTGTAGCTGTGGCTGCAGCAGTTGCTTTCCAGCTCTACAGGATCCTGGTAAACAGCAAGGAGGGATAAACATTCCTGCTTTGCTTCTCACGCAAAGCCAGAGGGATGAGACTCCACAGAGCACGAGCACAAGCACCAGGCAACCATCCCACAGCCAGAACTGTTTGTAGGGCCCTGGGAAATGGGAATTCAGAGGGAGAAGCCAGGCTGTAACATCCTGCACAGCCTCCCAGGTTGTGCAAAGGATGCCAGAAGTAACACCCTCCTTTCTGCCCCGGGAGTTTGCTTGTAATGCAGGCACAAAGCACACCTGCCTCCCTTTGGCATCCCTGCCTCAGAGCCAGGAGCACAGGATGCTCAAGAAGGAAATAAGATGAAGGTATTTTGTTGGAAAGCCACACAGATTTGGATAACATGCAGATTTTGAATGGGGTCCTCTATAAAATACACAGTTCAATATAAAAAAGGGACAGAGTGACTGTATCCTGTTCCCAGTGTTGGCACCATTCACTGTGTGACTTCTGGCAAGTGGCTCCTGGACAGAGCTGAGAATGTGCTGGAATTTTTAGTTAACTGATCAAGCAAAATGAACCTAAAGGTGTTTTCGTTTCAGGGCAGCCAAAACGCAGATTTTCAATTAACTCGTCAAACTGAAAACCCAGAGAACTGGGAAGTTTTGCTTTGGAGACTTCTAGCCTTGGAAAAAAATGACCATTTTGAAATGAAAACATCTTTTCAAAATGAAAGATTAGAAGATGTTTGTTTTTCCTCTTTCCCCATTCTCAATTTAAGAATTTGATCTATATTAACAAAAGACAGTCTGCTCACCAATCTCTCTCCTTTCCACAAAGTCAGTAGGAGTTTTAACACCAACTTCAACTTCAGAACTTTACAGCACTTTGAAATCCTCATCTTAACTTTTCTGTGTCATTTGTAAAACAGAGCCTATAACACGCCTGCATTTTTTGGTGTGGTTACTCTGCCATGCTGGACCAAATAATTTAAGATAACCACTTGGCAATAAAAATATTGTTTCAATGAACTACATTCTGTCCTGACTTATTCAACCAAGTTCAAGCAGGTGCAGTTTGGCACAAAATGAGTCAGTGCAGAATTTGGTCCAGTTCTCTAAAGTTCTTTGAAGTCTCAGATGAAAGAAATGAGTAATAAATGTGGACCCTGAAACGAAAAGAAGAATGAGGCATCCTCATTCTGCAAGGAAAATGAGCTTAACCTCCTCATTAATCAACACCAAAAAAACAGGAATAAAAGCTAAGCCACGAAGACATAATCAATCTGTTAGATGCTACTTGACAGATGCATTGAAAAACAGCAACAATAAAGACCCAAAGAAATATAATCTTAATCTTTATATTGCAATGGGCATCTTAAGCAGATTTTTTTTTTTCCATTTTATATTCAGTACTCTAATTCCCAGAGAACAGAAACTCTAATTACAGTTGCTTGCTGAAGGCTGGCCAGTAATTATGTATCTTTCTCTTCATTAGATGCCTGTGAAGGAGGTTTGGCCTGAAACAGAGCAGGTAAACTGGAAACCCGGAGACACGTTTTCAATTAAGAGCTCATTTTAAACTGGCAACTCATTTTAATGCTGCTGAAACCTGCCCTCCTGCTGCAGAGGAGGGAGCCCAGAATGTCCTGATCTCTGGCTGGTGACAGCCTGGTTGGACAGACACACGAGCCTGTGTTGGTGTGTTCATGTCCTTACATTTAGTGACAAATACAGAATTTACTGCTGTAACCTCTTTGCCAGGACTAGAGCTGAGCACAGAGTTATGTCAGACAGAAACCACTGCAGGAACATCCAATGAACAGGCCAAATGACTCTGATAAATTACAACTTCAGAAAAAAACCCTGATTTTTTTAACGTCTTCTAAATGACATATCTGCTTTCAAATCCTTTTTTCCAGTTCACAGCCTCTCCCCACCAAAAAAATAAAAAGTTGTTGGTGAGTTAGTGAGGTCTTAGTCCTTTCACAACATGAGGACCCCAAATAATTTCTTTCTGTTTTTAAATCTAGATTAAGTCCAACAGTTTTCTATATTTGGCAGATTTACCAGATTCAAAAGGGCTTTGTAGAAGCAAGAAAAGAGAAAAAGATTTCTACTAATACAGCCAGAAAGACACATTTAATCAGCAAATACCAACATGGTGGCTCTTCAGATAAATAGGAACCCTGAGTAGATTTTAAATGGGAAACCTAAAAAATGCTGGACTTTGAAATTGCTTGTGTTCATCTTGTATACCATAAATTATCATCAAGGAATTACTTAAAACAAGTCCAACGAGCATAAAACCTGCAATTTTTTGGGAAAAAAATCATCTTTAGAGAGAGTTCAAGAAAGATCATTTACTCCCCTACTCAGCTTTATCCTTCAGTTACCCTGCCCTAAGTTGTCACTGTCTCGTTAACATGAACCTGCTAATCTTGTAGGGACGTCTCAAAGTCCCAGCAGTTCCCCATATGACAGTGACAACCAAGTATCTACACTCATCCGTGCCTAGAAAGGCAAAAAACGTCCCCTAGGAAGAGTGTTTTTGAGGTAATGGGGCCCGGGGAGGCCCTGAGCTCCGTGAATCCAAATTAAAATGAACTCTAACAGGCAGAATGCTCAGCAATCCACTCAGCTCCAGGCAAAGGCAAATTTCACAAAGGCCAAGTCCTCAATAAGGGGCAGTTCACAAAAGTTAATGGGATAACAGTGATTTCCAGCAGCTGGAGGGGTGACCTGAAGTGTTTGCCATCGTTTTGTGACACGCTGGTTATCTTACAAAAAAAAATTCAATTTTGACTTTTATTTGTGGCTGTGTCTCTCGTTCCCTCTTCTCAAGTGACAGCCACAGGTGAGCCTGAGAAAAGATAAAAGCTGCTGTAGACAAGCCAACTTTTCTGTCACTCTGCTGGAATACTCTCCACCTTATCTCCCACCATCACCACTGCTATGTTCTTCCACCCACGTGTCAGTCATTAACCAGGAAGAGTGGAAATACTCAGGATTTCTTACAAGCTTTTAGCAGTAATATTGCTACCAGCTGAAAACCTTCAAGAAGCACCAGTTTTCTCCAGGGTCCAGTCTGACCCCATGATTTTAATACTAAAAAGGGACTTAAAGGCATTCCTGCAAGCTCTCACCTCATCACTGGCTAGGAAAGTCCACACTGAGTCACAACTGAGAGCAGCAGCTTATTATTGCCTGGCATTTATCTTGCAGGAAGTTTGGGCTACAGAGCTGTTGTACAGAGTAAATCCACCAGCCAAGTGTCTTATCCAGTAATTTCCAGTCCATGATTGGTGGCCAACATGCTGCTTGTGAGACACCCTGGTAACAATTATGACCGAAGAAAATACCAAAAGTAAAGCTAATGGTGTTTGCAATACACCAAATGATTATATATCCAATTACAGGATATATAGAAGAGAGAAGAGGCACAAACTTCTTACAGCTCCTGTTCCAACGTGGCAAACCAACTTCAGAGGAATCACCTCTGTCTCCACAACATCAGCTGTCAATATTCCTGAACCTACACAGCCCATTTAATTGAAAAAGTGAAGGTACAGTGAACTCTGAAAATACTTCAAAAGTGGGAAGTGTCAGACAATTCCAAGTATTTGACAAGCAGGTTGGAAAATGTGTGATTTTGTGTTTGGTTTGTTGCTTCACTGAGCCAATCTACACAGCAATAACAGCAATAATAAACTTCTCTGTTCCAGCAGCAGAACAGTTAGGAAGATGAAAGAACTCGTCCCATTAGAGAACACCACTGTTTTGCAGGGCCTCTGCCTTTGTGTAATGGTGCAGTGTGATCCTACCTTAATGACATCTTCATCTGAGGATCTGCACTCCACAGATTCCAGAAGGTCACTCACAGTCCCATCATCTTCCACAGAAATCACTTTGACAGGGACAGCCACTGTTTTCCCAGTGAGAATAGCTGTATTCAGGATCTCTGCTTCCTAAGAGAAAAAAAAAAAGGCCCTTTAATTAATATATTTTGCTACTAATTCATTAACACCACCTAGATTCAGCTTTACTTTAATTCCTAATGGCTCTGCCAAGAACTGTTCCAAGTGCAGCAGGCAGGAAAAACAAACTTCCTCCCTTGGATCCTGAAACCAAACTCCTGGTTCTGATTCAGGGCTGTTAAGTTTTTGTTATGCCCTAATTGCTATTTCATGATGCTCATCAAGTGCCAAAGCCACCTGGCACTGGAGCAATGACCCTGCACCACACAAACAAGATGCACCTTGCATTTAGCAGTAGTGAAATCTCCATCCTGAGGAGCTCACCAGTCTCACTGATCACACAAAAATAATGTCTTAAGTCTTGCTGGTTTACCCAGAAAACTGTTTTCTGAAAGGTTTTCTATGAACTCTGAAATTCTGTGACATTGCTGGACAAATACAGTGCAATTGTTAGGGAATGAGTGTGGGCTGAGGACAGTCAGAAATCCACTTTGCCTCAATCTCCTGGGTGATCTCTCACAGGTCCCTGCAGTGAGGAAGATTGCAACTGTCCTCAGCTTCCAGCCCACTGCCATCCTGCACAGGGCCTCTGGCTGCACCTTTGGTTGGACACTCAGGCTGGAATCAGCTCCAGCCTCAGAGGCAGGCTTCAGGCTGCCCTCAGGGATGCAGCCTTGGCAAAGTCAACAATTCACAGCCTGCAAAACAGTGACACTCTCTCTCCTGACAGATAACATGTGGTTTTCCTTTCTCTGCCTGCAAGGGAATTAGCTGGAGTGCCATTGTTCAGGTCCTGCATAAAGGACTGTATGGAATCAGACCCTCTTTGGGTTTTCTAGGACTTATCCCAGCTCTTGTTGGGTAAAGGGGGGCAAATACATATCCAAAACTCTTTCTTTACCATTTAATGAGGCTTGTGCAAAACCATCCTCTCCCAAAAAGAGGAAGGATGCTGAGGAGGGCCTGGGCTCTTTGAAGAAGATGAGCTGTGCTATGACCTGTGTCTGTCACTCTTGTGACGATCATTGCAAAAAGCATTCCTTGTATCTGATTCACCACTTCTAATTTAAAAGTGCTGAGTTCTGATTGTATGAAGAGTGTGAGACTAAACAGTGCTCTCTGTTACCTGGGTGTCACCTCAGTCTGGCACCACAGACATCCCTGAGCTGTGCCAAGACACTCAGAGCACAAATTGCTGCCCGAATCCTTCCACCCCTAATTGCAAGATCCCGCTCGTTCCTGGAAAGGTCTCTGAGCCTTTCAGAACTGTGCCTGAGAACCATGAACTACCCCATAGAACAAGAGGCTCCTGATTTCAGTTGGCTCCTGTGCAATGAAGGCTTCCAAAGCCCCCCAAGTGCTAAATTCTCATTATCTAAATAGCTCACGCTATGAGCTCTGAGACTGACCTGATTTTACTTGTGGAAGACAACAAAGTTGGAACCCAGCTACCAGAAGATGATGATTGCTCCTACTGCCTCTTGGGCTAAAGAGGAGAAGCTGAGATTTCTCTCATCTAAAGGATTCACATCAAAAAGACCTTTTCCTACTGCTTAAAGAAACAGACACACTTTACTCAGACACAAAGCAATATTTAAAGAAAGAAAAAAACCCCTCCCTGGTCACTTTGTAGCTGCTTTTCTAAAGTTGCCCCATCCTCACCCTGATCTTTAGGGAAGGGAGAAAGAGGATTTCACAAAAAGAGAACTTGAGAAGAAAATCCTCTCCCTCCCTCGGCAGAAAAGCCCTGGAGATATTTTGAAATTATAATTCACACAAAGGTGAGAATATCTGCCTGTATGGTAAGGCCTGTCTGTCTTGAGCACACATTTGTTCTCAGGACAGAATATATTATTAAGGCAACTGAGTTCTCAGATTTGCAATTAAGTTTCCAGGTTGATTTTTTCCCCACACCTGGGCTTTGCAGCAAAGTTACTGCAGGCAGGTTATTTAGAAGCTTTTTCCACTCTCCTGTAGCTCCTCCACAGAGCTGCAAATGGAGGCAGCTTGACAGAACAAGTGCTATTAAGCATCCACTGTAATTACAAAATCCAGGTGTTAGGTCCTGGTTTTGCAAACACTGGGGCATGAATCTCATTTCACTGGGACTGTTTGAGGCCACACCACCTACCTAGACCTGCTCCCCCAAGCAGGCAGAGCTTCCTCCCTCCAGTTGATCCATTACAGTATGACCCTTGCAATTATTTTATAAAGCAAGGGGAAGTTTAATAACCAAGCCTTTGAAACAGTGTGATTAATGAGTTCTGCTTACCAAAGGCAAATGTAATTTCCCCTGGTAAGAGCTGGGAACTGAGAATGATTCTCAAAAGCTCCATGAATTTCTTCAGAGCCTCTGTTTTTTTCCCAGTGCTAGCTTTGGATATCCTGAGTACAGACTGCATCCTGATCCACCTGTTTGTTACCTGCTACTTTATGGAAACACACATAAAACCAGGATATATTGTACCTCAGCTGTTTTACTGTCACTGCCCTGTTCTTCTTGGTACCTTTCACAAGGTACATCTAATCCACAGGGAATTTCTGCATGTCCAGAGGCTCAGTTGGCTCCAAAGTTCACTAACATGGCCTTGGGTCCTGCCCCAGAGCTCTCTGTCTGTCTGGCAGCTCTGTACTTAACCCAACTCTGTAAATAATCACAGCAACTTCAATGACAGCACCTAAAAACAACGAGATGAGCACATTCAGACCTGATTCTAAGGTAAGGAAGCAAATAGACATGTTTTTGCTATCCAAAATTGAAGATCCCACACTCAAAGTTCTGTAGTTTTTGTCTGTATTAGTGTTCTAGATCCATGTTCAGAAACAAAGTGTTTTCAGAACCGTGCACAGCAGTGTCAGAGCACAATGAGCAGCATGTGACAGCACTGCTGATTCTTAGACAAACATAAATATCTCCAAAACAATCTTTGTGCCCTCTCTCCCAAGGAAATGAAGGAGGTGGGGGGCAAGATGTAATGCCTGGGGTTCCTACAAATGGCTGTGGTGGTTCTCTGACTTTCTATCAACAACTACTTGTTCAGTCCCAGGAAAACAGATCCACCCAACAAATAAAGTAAAAGATGAGCAAAGCAAGCTGGCACTGGCCTGAAACTGTGCTGATCAACACTGGGATAACTGAGCTGTATCTCCTGTTTGCAGAGATTTCAGTACCTCCACATATATGGACTTGGAGGATGATTTCTTTAGGCACCTGGTTTGCATCTCATCCCTGAACATAGAGGCATAATAACCATTTACACCAACTTACACAGCAGGGCCAGAGTAAAATGCTCCTTCAGGCACTTGTTTAATGGTCAGAAAGGTCTTAATGTTCCCCTGGTGAAAGCATATGAAAATTATTTCATTTTGAGGAAAGGAACATGATACTTATTTAGCAACACAGAGATTTATAGTTGAGAGTCTCAGCATGCAAGAGCTATAAATCTAAGTAGTTACTAATTTAAAACTGTTGCTTTTTGCTGCTTAAGTGATAAAGGAATCTCCTGAAGAAATATTATGTTCTTTATCCATAACTAACATAGATTATAGGAGATAAGATGTCAAGGCACTGGAAGATGGGAATAGTTATGCCTTTGCAAAGCTATAGCCAAATAGTCTCACTGCTAAAAGTTGATTCCCTGAGCAGCCATTAAAAAGATGCTGAACTTTCTCTAAGCATTACACAGCATATCTCTATAATTCTCACACAGTGAACCCCTCAAATAATAAAATGAAATAATAATCAGAGAAAAACGTGTTTCTTCATGTATTAGAAACAGAGGACCAGGTAATCTTTATTCTGAAATAGCTACCACGGTAAATAAATACTAATACTTTAAAGAATATTCTGGAGTGAGCATTCTTTGCCTACTGAAGAGATTCATATTAAATAACTGAGCATATTAAGCCCTCCAGCAGACACACATTCAGAAGATGTACACAGTAAGCATCTATTTAAGTAGAAATGCAGAAGTGAATACCTATTAGTTTTTTCAGTTTTAATTGGTAGCTTCCCTGCAATTTAATTTCCCTTCAGACATCTTTTGCCTTATAATTCCTGGGGTGAAAAAAAGGACTTTAACAATATCTTCACAAATTTTAAGGAATTTCTGTTTCTTCCTCTAGTTCTCTCTGTATACACAGTATTTTCTTATGTTTGTATTTTTTGTATATATATACATATATATACATTTTTAAAAGAAATAAACCCAAGACTAACTCATGCTTAGCCTTGAGGCCCCACATCCAGCTTCTGACAAAGAAAAGTTCAGTATTAACTGTCAACATTCTTTTCCAAAAGCATTTTAACATGAGTCAACACATCAATTTAACACCGAATCCCTGTTAGCCCTCACACAGCTACAAGCAGCAGTGAGCAAGGCACCAGCTTGTTTTAAAAAAAGACCTGGAGACATGTTTCCTCAAAATAACTTGGATGGATCTGCAGCTCTGGGGGGGTCAGTGTGCCCCCCCTTTTCTGCTGAAGCAACAGCCACCAGTGGTGGTCCCGATGGCTGCATCTGGCTGAAGTTGGGCTCTGGGAGACAGATAACAACACAATAGCTGAGGGCCATAAATCCTGCTCAGCAGCTGAGGGCTGCTATGCAAATATGACTGTAAGTCAATTGTCTCACTCCACAAACAGTGGGCAGCACACCAAGATCAACCCTTGAGTAGGGAACCTCTCAAGGTTACTCCTCGAGGCTGAGAGAATCCTGGAGGCTGAGAGGTTCCTGACCGTGTCAGGTGCTCGGCAAAGGAACTGGGAATAAAAGCAGTGAAACTCTGAGATCTTGCTTAAGTGGGACAGAGGACTGGTTGCACACACACAATCCTTTAGACATGAACCTCTGACCAAGTCTGGGACTAAGCCTGGATCCAGCTGCACCTGCACTCTGCTCTGTGAAGTTTAGCACACAAGGGGGTCCTTTTGGTCCTCATGAGTCCAAAGAAGGGTCTCCCTGCTCTGTCTGACCCTGTCTTTGATGCAG